ATTTTGTGCTTCGCACATGGGAGTCAAAAAAGTTATTACTAACAAAAGCTGTTTATATTCATTTTCTGACTAGAAACTTTCTCAGTATTATCTGCTTGTACATGATGTTTAAATTTATTGTTGTTTTGACACAATTAATCACAATAAAATAATGAATTAATTAATTGACCAAATACTTGTATACTTAACCCAATAATCTCCCCCTTAAGGCATATTGCATGACACATGTGGTGTGAGTGTATATATGGAGAGAATTGCATTACATCAAGTGGTAATCATGTAATTTTTTAGTGACGGAAATAACACATAAATGTTTGGGGAAACAACATCAAATTGCAACAATTAAATCAGGAATTAAACATAATGGGCCCGGAACTATTAGCAGCAGCAAAAATTCTAATATGTTGTAACATTCGGCAAAGCACCCACCCCTTCAATATGCCACTAATTTAAAACTTGGTCTTTGATTATTGTTTTATTAACAAATACTGGTAATTGTTTTTATATGATATAGTGTGGATATTGACCGCCATGAATAAGTTGTGAATGTGTAGACCAAGCTTCGACAATGACCTGTTAATAAAAGTAAAATGCGGCAAATATTTCATGCCATATTCAGTCAAAAATTGCTAGTTACCAGTTTTTTTAAACAGGCAAACTGTCGGCTGAGATAGCTGGGCTGTTAGCAAGGCACATTTCAATTAAAGAATTGAAGATATCATTAGAAAACGAACAATATTTATAGTAAGCAATTGGTTTTGCTGTATTCAATCCAAAAATGACAATAATGTTCATCAAAATTAGATAATTGAAGATATCACAAAATGAACAAATCTGAGAGAGGTCCACATGTAGTACCTATATATGTAATATCAAAGCAATCAGATTTGTGGTTTTTAACAAGAATTTGAAAATATCACTTTTTACCAAAAATTACAAAAATATTCACCATAATTAGAGAATGAAAGATATCATCACGAAATGAACAAATCTGAGAGAGGTCCTTCCAAGGTACTTGCATATCAAATTTGAAAACATTCTGACTTGTGGTTTCGAAGAAGAAGTTGAAATTGTAAAGTTGACGACGATGGAGAACAATCAGTAATATGAACAGCTCCGGTGTGTCGACTTTGTCAACAGCGGAGCTAAAAACCATGCAGTTTATTCGCCAAAATCAATTCCAACAGATCATACTTCGACATTGATAATTCACTCCGCATTGTGTTACCAGAAAGTCTGATTGGTTAATAAGACTTGTTGCAGGTCAAATCATGCAAGAATACATTATGGCTGAAAGTGCTTTTCATCAAGAGTTTGCGTATGATCTAACACATTCGTCAGTGGAGATAATGATGAACATTTTGACTTTGACTGTGTCTGAACAGACTAATATTTTTAACCTCGTAAATTCGGTGGTAAAATACTTTATTTTAGTTGGAATTAATTTTCACTGAAAAGACGTTTTGGGTGTTTTGTGAAAAAATTATTTTCACTGATTTTTGACGAGTTGAATGTAAAATATAGGGAAAAAAGTATATTCGCTGGATTTTATTTTCGCTGAATCATTCCTTCAGCGAAAATAGTGAAAATTAATTCCAAGCAAAAATAAAGTATTTTACAGTATGTAATTAATATTGTAATAAAATGTGCATATTATAACCGTTGTCGTAATTTTATTTTCCCTCAAAGACGCAATATCCCCCTCAATCTGTCACATGGTGAATTAAAATTGTCATTTGCATACTTTTCCGAGGGGGGTGCTTGGGTCGCAAACCCCTAAAAAAATCATGATTTTCTGAGTTGAGGACACTGGACGATAATGTGGTCCAGTACAGTATATCTATAATTTTCAGTTAAATTTTATCCATACAAAATTCACCTCACCAAAAATAAATGCATTAACTAATTACAATGAAACATCAATAACCTTGTTGGTACAGAAAAATTTGATTGGAGTGACCAGATGCAATCATTCTAATTTATCACCTAATATCATCAGGTACATTCACAATAGTGTAATGTATACACAATGTTGTAATTATCAATAAATATGAAATACATGTAGTAATGAAATTTAGAAGAAAATTTTAGGATATTATGTAAGAAACCCTGAAATTGGCACTCAGATGAGTCAATATTGTCAAAATGCATGGTAATAAGAACAGAGATGCACTGCAAATAGAACCCACATTAAGTACAAAATTGATACTTTGAATAGTATTTCTTGGTTCCTGCAATGATGTCTTGAATCAACTAACGGTTATGCACGTGTGTTTGTTGTGATTAAATTTATTGTTTCATGGTCGAAGTGGGCGGTGATAGGAATGCTCAATTTATGATAGTATTTCCTTATTTTACGTGAATTCGACAACAAACCTGCTGGTTGCATCAAAGTGTGCTAGGACGTGAATACAATAACAACCCCCACTTCAAAACAATAAATTCCATGACAGACCGATACAGCTGTCCTGGGCACCTCGTCGTCTTTCCGGAAGCCTCGTGGCAGACACGTCAGTGCCCATCTGTCTCATATTTGAAGTTATTTTACTAGAATACATATGAAATACCGACTTACTTTTGCCATTCTTTGTAAAATTGTCGTCCACTTTGGTATCGTCCAGTATTTTGACACCTTTTGTTGACAACTTTCGTTTCTTTCTGTCGAACACTTCGAGGAAGTTGGCCTGGACTCCCTTATTCGGTCCCCTGCATTCGTCTAAAACATCCATTATTTTAACAGTAAATGGGTAACCGTTTTGTCCTAAACTAATAGGCACAGTACTAATAGTGCAACACTGTTTTTGCACGCTTTCGTTTAACGTTGCATATGTATAAACATTCCTCGCTATGTACAGTACACTGTCCAAAGATCGAACCCGATACGACAGGCTTCCTACCGGAATAATTTAAGAAATTTCGTTTTCATGGCGCGATTCACGTGGATAACGACCCTGCTCCCATCGTATGGGTGCAGTTTCCTTTACTTGCATCATCTCTGTGTACATTTTTCTACATTAGACGTTCTGCAAGTGATATACGTCGTTGAGTAAACTTTTGTTGCTTGTAGTAAAATCCGCCATTTTGAAGCGGTGTATGATGGGACGTGATTAATTATTCATCATTCAAATGAGCAACAGGTGACAGGAGATTCAAATATTTCGGACACTTTTATAAAGTCCAGGTTTAAGTAAATATAAACAAACAAGTAATTCATTTAAATATAGAAGACGCGCTTTTAAACTATATCTAGTTTCTGTTTTTATGTCATGCGAAAGAACGACTAATACATCGACCAGCTAAGATGAGAAATCCACCTCCACCGTGATGGTTACCATAGCGACCATAGTACCTGTCTGTTTTTGAATGGACATAGGTATGATTATAAATAAGAACATGTACAACTAATTGTGGAATTTAACAGAATGGCCGTAAAGGTAATCTAACATTTGTTTTTATTTAAATAGTTTTTTAAGCTTTTTGAAAGTAATTCGTCACGGTAACTTAATCAAGAAAAAATCACTGAATAAACTAAATATATCATACATTTTAAAATTGTTTCACTGACTAAATAATACCAGTTTACTTAACTATTTCTATACAAAATAAGTAAATAAATAAATAAATAAATAAATAAATAAATAAATAAATAAATAAATAAATAAATAAATAAATAAATAAATAAATAAATAAATAAATAAATAAATAAATAAATAAATAATACTTTTATTACACCGTAATAAAAACTATATATGCCGGTATGGTAAGCAAGATATATTTGAAAGCCAACGCCATTTGCAAATACAAGATTTCACACAAATACACGATTATGAGTTCAAACAAAGAATTATTGACACTGGCCTAACTAAACGTGCGCAGCAGGCCAGAGACCCACGACCACAAAAGCAACAGTGACCCGAGTAAACCGATAAATAGCAGCGACAATAACATTATTTATAAACATTAAAAGAAACTACTAGTAATTAGGCCTCTGTTCGTCATTTTATACAGTGTGTTCGGTTATGCGAGAAATTTGAATATTGAGGTGAAGGGTCACCAAGCATGGAGCTAAAAAAAGATTTTTAGCTCCATGCACCAAGGTACGAGATGCAAGCACACTCGTATGCACTTATGTATTGCTATGGTAACGACAATTGCTCATACTGTGCTCATATTCTACTAATTAAATCAAGCAATCGCTGCTCGTATGCATTTGTAGTAGTGTCTCTGGGTTAAAACGCTAAACATAATATGTTATTTATACATCTATCAGAAGTTACAATGTGTTCACGTTAATTTTATTTCAAAATAGACCTTCAAACCCCGACAAGTAGGCCACTAATAATCTGCGCATGCTCAATGGCCATATTTAAGGTCACTTAAACTGTGCGTCCTCACAATTTGATGCTTGGAGTTTTCGATGTGTGATCGACGTGTCATGATCACATAGGAATTAGCCTGACGTCACTATACTTCCTGGTCAGAGTTCATAACTGCGATTCAGGTAAACATACACAGTTTAAAGCTGTGTATCGACACAGGTGAGACTGTTAAACTTTTATTGCATCGTAAAAGTATTATTCTATCACCACGGTGTGTGGCATAACGGTTTTGTACATCCGGTGAGAGATGGTCATCCCAACCACGTTTTTTTTGCCTCGTCAACTAAACTGCAAACTCACAGGTAAACGGTCGTTTATTTGTAAAATACTGAATAATTTTTCTTCAGGATTCATTTGCATAGCTGCGTTGACATATAACAGTTGATATCAATGGGTGTACCGTACCCCTCCATTCACCCACCCACATGGTAAGACAAAATCCAGGAGATATTGCAATGTAATATCGTATTACTCACGGTACGTGTAATGTATACAGTTGAATTAAATGCTACACGTTGTAGAACCCAATGCATTTCACTGGTTATAATATGTAACCATGGCACCGTCAAATATCAATTAAAACTTCATAATGCTTTCCATATTATGAACAAACTGTAATTGCGCTCTATTTCCACTGTCTGGGTGTGTAGGCACTTAGTGATCCGCAACTGAACCGGTTTAAGAAGGAAGTCATTATTTTCTCGGCCGAGTACGGCGTTTTTTTTTTTTATTTTATCGTATACACATAGTTGTCTGGCACGTACACACTCGGCTAACTTTGTAAAACTGTGGTTGTCTGTATTCGACGTGTACTGAATGTTCAGCTAGACAGATTGTCGAATTGGTGTTCTCTGCATATTTTCTTTATGCAAGTATGTTGTTACTTATGTTATATCAATGCAGTCACTGGCTCAAACTGGGCACTGTGAATACGTCTACGTAGTTCTATAAGAAACGTACTTTGACCTAGCCAGCCAGTCGATCGATGGACGCCCTCATTTCCGAATAACTGTTACATCAAACTATTCGTATCGTATGTACGCACCGGTTTTCCCTGCTACAGAGTGGTTCTAAAATATAACGATTATACGCTACGAACATTCACAGACGTATGAAGTAACATACTATGGTATAGTAGAAATATTTGTGTATTGAATGTACCAACTTTGGATTTTTTATTATTTTAGTGATTCCATATTTGACACTCTCCCGATCTTATCGTGCTTACAAGGTTTCTGAAAATTGTCTAAACGACTACACCATATGGGCGCGTATGGCAATACAATGTAGCTAAAAAGTTAATGTAGTTCGACTCAAAGTGAATTATTCAAAAAATGTTGTGTGATGATTCATATACATGTACATGCACGTCATTCATATTTATTTTTTTTACGGAGAACGAAGAATGTGTTTCCAAGAAAACATATGCAAAATAATTATAAAAAAACGTCCATTTTCAAATATTTTCCATAGGAATCCATATAAACACATTATTCAATGGATCACTTACACTGATATTCAATTTTTTGTGACAACCGTGTTTAGCCCTCATAACACTTCAGATCATTTTTAAAGCATAGGAACGAACAAAATGTTGAGATATGATGGAATGTTTCAAAAAAAGGAACCAATTATAAAGTACTCAAAACACGCTTTTTTAATCAATTCGATTTGTGGAAAAATTAGTTTGGTGACTATGAATTTTTATTTCAGAATTTTGAAATATGAAAATTTGTGCTTACAACTGGTTTTTAATCCGTGTAGAAAACGTGCACAGAATGGTCGTTTTGCGCACGTTTTCGACACGGCTTATCAGCCACCTCAAGTGCCAAATCCATGAAATAAACAACCATTGTCAATAGAGTAGCCTAGGTGTTAAAATGGATTAAGTACTGGCAAACCAACTTCTGCATAGGTCTCTAAACGCTTGCTTTTTGGTGGATTTAGTCATCTTTTTTGAACTCAGAAGCCCACAAAACCTAATATTACATGTGAGAACGAAACAAATCCGTCGAGATTTCACGTTTTCCCGTAAAAGGGATGCCGGCTGTTTCCTCTCTGGACTCCCTCCCGCGTATACTAGTACTATAAGCAAATAACACCGAATAAACGGCAAGGTAAATACTACGTCTAATTAAAACACGTACTGCGTGCGTGACTCGAACCGGCGCTCGCGTACGGCACCTAATCGCCTAGCTTCATGCCACTACACAGATCTGAAGGCCTTTGCCGCATTCTGGCCACGCTGTGTGGCGCGGATCGCGTGGACGGGTTTCATGTTCTCTGCACGTAATAAGCTCGGTTATTAGCATCCTTTTTTTG